CAAACGGCCCCAGGTGTCTGAGTTTTAAGATGGGCCTGAGGCAGTCATCTTTCTTTGGAACAAGGAAACAGCGACTTTGAAAGCCCAACTTGCTTAGTGATAAAGCAACTGGCTCTACAGCTAAATACACTGTATAATATACATTTTTTATCCAAAACACGGATGCACCAGATACATGTGACATTAGCAGCGTCTTACGTCATCAGCGTCACTGCGGACTTGTGAACACGGCTTGAGAATACAATGCTGAATAAAGTAATAGTTTTTGTTATTTGTAGAGTGTCTGGTGGTCCCTGTCAGTTGGGACTGTCCACAGTTTCATAGCGAACTTAGTTAACACAAAGCCTTCCTCCTGTCCAGCAAGAACCGAACGTTGTGTACACACACACAGACACACACTGTCACATGTCTGTCCTGTCTTGTGTTAAACATGGATGTTTTGTTATGTTGGGCCATGTGCCTCTGTCATTGTTTGATCCCGCCCCCTCGTTACCTGATTAGTGTTTGAGTTTCTCCACCTGTTCCCTCTTGATTTGTTCCCTATTTAAGCCTCCTCTTGTTTGCTGTCTTTGTCGGATCTTTGTCTATTGTTGCCCGTATTCCTTGCCTTGTTCTTGTTCTCATCCAATTTTCGTGTTTCTAGTTTAGTTCAGTTTTATGTTTCGTTTATTATGTTTTTCCCCCCTCGTGGGTTTTTGCTTTGTGTTTTGGTTTTCAGTTGTTAAGAAATATTTCACTTTTTGCACTTGAGTCCTCCTCTCCACATTTTGTAATCCACCCGTGACACACACCGGCTCAGGGACAGGCACCGCCTCAGGGACAGGTCTCTCCAACATCTTAATCAGATGCTCCAGATGAAAATGATAATTCTGAAAATGATATATTCCTGCATACCCATGTGTTTTATTATCATTTGAGTATAATCATGACTTCTCTAGATGTGTTAGACAAACTCTAATGACCTAATGTTCCAGATGTAACTAATAATGTAAGCAGAATAGGTCACCAGTGTGGCATATTTGGTCTCTATAACCTGGTACTGTGAAGATCGGAATGACTGTATACATGATATGTCGATAACCACAACACATGAGTATTAAAAGGATCTTTCAGTTCTTCATCGGCTAACAATGTAACTTTTCATGATCCCCTACCTGGGGATCTGTTCTTTGTTTGTTAAGTTTTGTTTTTCCTTTTTCGTATTCTACTATTTTTCATTTCCACAGATGAGTAAATTAAGTTAGCCTGAATATTTCTTTGGTAATTTACATCAAAGACCTTTAAACCTTAAACCTTCTTTGAAACTCCGCGCTCCGGACCATCCGCAAACCACCTGACGCTCCAACGGGACACACAGGACACGGGGCCGCTCAACACGCGCAACCTTATTCAGCAACATAAAGTGAACCATTTTATGCAAGTATATATAGTTTATCGAGCTTTCAGAGCATTAAAATTATGTTTTTCCATATTGTCTTAAAGGTTTAAACTGTCCAGGTGAATTTTGCCAAACTGTGATCCAAACGGATCTCCTCTCTCTCTCTCTCTCTCTCTCTATCTCTCTCTCTCTATCTCTCTCTCTCTCACTCCCTGTTGCTTTTACTTTCTATCTCTTTCCATGTTTTGTTCTCTGTCCGCAGAATAAACACAAATGAGAATGGACCAGGAGGTCTCGGTATGGTTATTTGATACATTTATGTACTTATAGAGTTGTAATCGTGTCCCCTTTGAAATTATGGATGTGCAACACAGACACACAAACACTAACGTTGGCGCAATTTTTTGAAACTACATACACATACTGTGATAAAGTTTGCTACATACAAGCGAAATTACATTTATGCGAGGGACCTGTGGCGTCATGTTTACATTATTTGTAATACAGATGCTTCTGTGGCAAATGTGAGAAGATGGCTAACTTACAGAACAAGAACATATATGCAGTTTGTAATACAATATCTTTAAATATATATATATATATATAAACGTGTGGTTACACACTATACAAACAATTATATACAGACATCCTACGACGACGACGACGACAACAACTTTTGACGATGACGCATTTGTTGTTGAATTGGCTGACATCGACTGAATGACTATTTGCTCAAAAATCATAAAATACACTTACTGTTACTGGAGGTGTTGTTGGATCGCAAACAGTAGATGACGTTCCACAGTTGAGGATTAACTTTGAAGCAAGACCTGCTTTCAATTGACCCTCGTTCACAAAACAGTCAGTCAGAAAATGATTCGCTCAAACATAAATTACATTATTTACGAAGGAAGGGCGCCACTTCCAAAATACAATACATCCACTGTGTTTTCAGAGGCTCTGATATCGGAAATAAGTGAAAACTACTATGTATGTCATTATTACATCCCATAACACTTATGATTCTAGGAGACATTACCGGCTGTCGTTGCAACAACGGATGATGGTGTACAGATCACCGAGGGCGGGGTCTATCCCACAACCACACTGTCAATCAAACCCCTTGCTCAATTCTACGTCACAAAGACCTGAATCTTAGAACAGCTCGTTCTGAGACGGTGCAGATGATTTATTGAGATTGTAAAAAAAACACTGGGTGGATTTTTATTATTCTAGGGTGGTTTTGCTCACACACTGCCAACACACATTCATGTTCAAACATCATGTAAAAGTGAATTTTTCCATAATATGTGCCCTTTAATTATAATCCATTTTGATTAAGTAGTGAGTGATTGACAATTGAGCTAATTTTAACCTGTCTGTAAAATATAGTCTTCATAGGCAATTAATTATAATCCTTTGTGGGTATTTGTCTGGGTACATATGAATGCAGATGCAGGGAACATATTATCCCTTTTGGAGAGATTCTGAACGGACACATCATAAGCACTTTGTTCACGGGCTGGTTGCATAAACATAGACAGTGTCTGAAGTTCTAGTGTGATCCACTATCAGTTTTAAAAGTCTTACATTTCAGTATCAAATTAGGCTAATCTACATTTTCATATAACTGACTTAAAAAACTATAAACAGTCTTAAAGAATTTTATGTCTAACTCGTGAGACTAGTCTTAGCGGTTTATGCAAACGGCCCCAGGTGTCTGAGTTTTAAGATGGGCCTGAGGCAGTCATCTTTCTTTGGAACAAGGAAACAGCGACTTTGAAAGCCCAACTTGCTTATGGATAAAGGCAAGCAACTGGCTCTACAGCTCCTTTCACCAACAGTTTTGACACTTCAAGGGGACTGGGAGACGTGCGAAAGGCTTTTTAAAGGGTGGTCCGATCGCAGCGGGACTCGTGGCGACTCTCTTTTCTTTCCTGACATTCAGGCTAGGAAGGCTTGTCTGATGGACAGCACGCTGTAAACAAAACAATCTCCGCAAACATGTCTAAGGATTTCGACACAGAGGAAGGCTTGCATTTTTTGCCAAGCTATAATTATTTGAACCCAGAGACACAGACACGCCAGATACACGTTAGCAGCGTCACTGTGAACTTGTTAACACAGCTTGAGAAAACAATGTTGAATAAAGTCGTGGATTTTGTTATTTGTAGAGTGTCTGGACCCTGTCAGTTGGGACTGTCCACAGTTGACACTTTCATAGCAAACTATAGTTAACACAAAGCCTTCCCCCTTTCCGACAATAACCGAACGTTGTGTAAACACACACACACACAAAGCCGGGAGTCAGGCCTCAAACAGAGCGCTATCCCAGGCAGCTCTCTCCAAAACTCACACACATAAACAGAAATTCCTTCATTGAAATCTCTCACTGTTGCTTTCACCTTCAGTCTCTTTCCATGTTTTGTTCTGTGTCTTGCTGGACAACGGATCATCAGATCACAAATTAATTCCACAGGGACTAACTTAGAGTTGATATATGATAGACATAATTGATTATTAATATTTAATTATAATCTGTTTCGATTAAGTAGTAATAGACAATTGAGCTAATTTTAACCTGTCTGTAAAATATATTCTACATAGGCAATTACAGTAATTATAATCCTTTATGGTTAACTGTCTGGGTACATATATGAATGCAGATGCAGGGAACATATTATCCCTTTTCGGGAGATTTAATAAATGTAAAGTTTATCTAGTTCTAAAACCCATATGAATAATTATTAGTTATCAATTATTAATTATTGTATACATATTCCACAAATTGACCGGAAATATACATATTTTTGGACCAAAATGTATTTTCGATGCTTCAAAAAATTTCAAACACATTTTCAAAGGAGGGACAGAAAACTCTCGGACTAAATCTAAAATATCTTACGCTGTGTTCCAAAGATGAACGGAGATCTTACATGCTTGAAACGACATGAGGGCGAGTCATTAATGACATGATTTTCAATTTTGAGTGAACTAACCCTTTAATAGCCAAAAACATGCTTTCACATCCACACCACTAGCTGCCAGTAAGTCCAAGACAGATACCAGTGTAAAAACTTGTAGTTTATAGTCCTCCTAAAATGATCTGAGGATCGTTCTTGGAAATCTTGTGCCTAAATATGTGTAAAAAGTAACCTTGTTAAAAAACGGAGAAAAAAAATAGTGTTAGGAGGAAAGGTGTTTAGTCAACTCGACAATGAGCACAATTATTACTAAATATTATTGTTCTTGTCATTCTTCTCAAAGTGCTCATAAAGATTTATACACAAATTGCCTCTAATATTTTTTGTTGCCCTTCCAGTTGTATCATTTTATTCCCTACAACTGAGTGTGTTATTTTAGATATGCATTTCATTTTCAGTTTAATGGAATGAAATGTTAATCATTGATCATTCGGTCCAGGACAGGAAATGTCACATTTTGATTTTAAACTACACAAAAAAATGTTAATGCTCAGGTTCTAGAGGGCAATGTACATACTTACCTGTTCATTGGAACAGGCAAGTATGTATTTACCTCCCCTCCCACCCTCCACCCCCCGTCCTGGGCAAGTATTTAAAGATTTCGTCGAACCCGATAAAACCACAGCAAAGCATTTGCTTTTGTGTCTTGTTCTCCACTTCTACATTAGACCTTGTCTAGGATAGAACGATGTCTGTCAGCTCTAATTTCAGAACCATCAGTGTTTATGGAGGTGCCGGTGGCCAATCCTCATCCCCTGATGGGTTTCTTCACTCTTCTCCAAGGAGATTGAACCTGGGTGATGCTTTTGACTCATCCGCTGGCGAGAAGACCACCATGCAGGATTTGAATAGCCGCCTGGCCTCTTACATAGAAAAGGTCCACTCACTGGAGAATGCCAAAGCTGATCTAGAAACCAAGATCAGTGACTGGTTTGAGAGTCGCACTGGTGTCACGTTTGATCACTCCATTTTCCAGGACACCATCAATGACCTGACGAATGAGGTGAGTTCAGAGTGGAGTGGGGATCTCAGGGTCTTCAGTGGATCACCTGACATGTTAATGTATGCAGACATGGCATTAGTGATGTAATATACAATAATAAATATTAAGGTCCCAAACTTAAAAATCTTGAAATTTAAGTTGAAAATCTGAATTTTAAATTGAAGGAGGCCTATTCAAATTACTAAACCTAAAGTTACATTAAATAAAACATGTACAGCGTTAGATTCAACTGGGCAGCGTCTTATTACTTGCATAATGTTGTCCTATTGTTAGTTTAATTTTATTTTTATTTATTTTTTATTTAACCTTTATTTAACCAGGTGAGCACATTGAGAACACATTCTCATTTACAATGGCGACCTGGCAATGAGTTTAACTGCTTCTAATGTTCTCATTTGTAAATTGCTTTGGGTTAAGCATCTGCTAAATAAATAAATTGAAAGAGCCATGTGTGGGGAGGTTCTGCTTGACTCTCTTCATCGCCGCTTTCTGGGTTTGATTCTGTCTCATACTGATACTGCAGTATCGACACCATTATTTACATTTGACAGGAACACATATGAAACTTTCGCACATAAAGGTAATGGGCGTGAAGTATCCGGACAACGTGCACTACAGTTTAGCCAACACACCGGCCCAAACTAACCAATCAAACCTATTACCTGTTTCTGAGGGAGTGGTTTCATAGAATCAGGAAGTCAACCGGTGGTTCAAATGACAGAGGAGAAAACGGCTTACAATAAAGGTGAAATTTATGAAAAATAAGACTTTTTGAAAAAAGAAAAAACACAAATACATGTTATATTGCACCCCATAAACACAATCATCTAAAGAAAAAAAGCAGTAAACCACCCCTTTAAAGGAGCATTTCACCCATTTCAACATTAACCTTTATTGAAAGTGGATCATATATGTAGTCAAAATGTAAAATAATTTTTGAATTTGGTGCCCTCTTGACTGAGAAAAGACCGAGAGGCGCATTTGTATGTAAGACAACAACTCCCACAATGCACCACATTGCACAGCTCCGCAAGCCACACCCACTAATCCGGAACGTGACGTGTATACTTGGCGAAGTGGTTCTGACTGAAACAGTTTTGTTGTCAGATTTGGCTTTTGTTCCACATACTGTAGTTGTAGTGAAATTCACAGATACCGAAAACTAGTTTTGAAAATAAATTGACTCCAGGTGCCAGACTGTTTATTGTGCAATTAGACTGTTTTCCTTTTCTCTCATTTGGAATTCAGTGTTCTGGGGGCATATTTTCTGCAACCTTCTCAAAAGACTGACATCTTTGACACCTATACTTGCGTAATCTGTATAATACTCTTCTTCTTGTTTTTTAATGGCAGATTCAATCAACTACTCAAGACAGAGCCTCAATCATCCTGAATTTGGATAATGCCAAACTGGCTGCTGAAGACTACCAATTAAAGTGAGAAACGAAATCAACATCTTCTGAACTGATTGTTTTCATTTATTGGCTAATTGATTTTGTGAACCATTGCCTCAGGTATGAGAATGAGCTCGCTATGAGAAGGACCGTTGATGCTGACGTCGCCAGTCTAAGGAAAATTCTGGATAAGCTTAGGTTGAGTCAGTCAGATCTGGAGATGAAGATTGAGGCTCTGAACGATGATCGCGTCATACTGAAGAGAAACCATGAGGAGGTACAATAGATGACACACATTTCCCATCTTAACCTGTCTCATTGAAGAATCAGTTGGATTATGCCTGTTCTGCCTCTTATTTTTGTAAAAACTCTTATTTCATTCAATTAAAATGGACAGAACACAGTCGATTGGTGTTCCGTTCCATAGTGTATTATTATATTCTAAAACAGCAAATTCTAGCTTGTAAACAGCAATGACATATCCATGACAGGATTTCAATTCAGGGCTTTGCCCATGAGACTGGCCATTCATATATTCCACCCACAAATTCATTCCTGTTTTACTCAAAGCTGTTATATAAGCCCAAGTAAGTTGGAAACATTTCCACTGAACTGTATACAGTAAATATCACCATGGTGGGGATGTGGTGTGAGGGTGTGATTATAAAGCATAGTTTGCAAGCTAACATACTAGCATACAGCTAGCTGGCTTAACATGTACACGTTACACTACTTCACCACCATGATTTATCCTAATTACTCCTATAGCTTCCACTGCTACAAATTAATGAATATTATTATATTTAGAAGAAGATATTGCATGGGGTTTTGAACTGCTGCCAACACTGCACAGCATCGGTCCTGAATTTTCAGTGGCGTATAAAGACAAACATATAAAGATTCTGTTTCATATATGACAGGTCTGAAAGGCCCATTTAATTCAAAAGTAAAGACATGGATCTTCCACCACTCCTCACATTCCAACCTTCCCACAAACAGAAGGGCACACACCCTGGTACACACCGAACACAGGGCAGCTAAATACAGGCCTGAAACTGATATCCAAATATAAGATTACATTATATTGAAAAGTAACACACACACACTTCAAATACCACAGTAAATATGCAGGAAGTTTTTCTTTTATCACAATACAGTAAATTGTGAAATAATGTTCTTTCTATTTAATTTTTTCCCTAAATATGGCAAAAATGAAATTTGAAAAGATATGTTTTTTGTTGTACTCAATAAACCTTCATTATTATTATTATTATTATCACAGTTTAAAATTGTTGTGCTGCATGCGTAAACTATGATTAGCAACACTGTTTTTTTAAGGATTTTTTGATAAACATCAAATTTCTGTAAAGGTATTTATGTAAAATTACAAAAAAATGTCTTTGTTGTCATCAATTTTAAAATCACAGTGATCCCGAACTTTTCAACATGTTTTCTAAACTAAATGTTGATGGAAAGAAAGTCTGTATTTTCTTTTGATATCTTTTGCTTTAAAACAATTGAAAGGCACATTCTGAAAATGAGAGGTTAGGTCACTTTAGCTGGACATAAGCGTGTGTTTTATAGCAGTTTCCACACCAAAACACACGGGGTCACATAGTGTTCCTTCCTTCCTTTAATTTTTCTCTTTTTCCTCTAGTTCTTCTGCTGCCAGCTCTGCTGGGGATTTTCCATCCCATTACATCATTGTAAACTAAACAGTAATATCACTAGGTCTACGAAATGTCATCATTCATGTAGTATAAACACAACTAGGCGCACACATAAACCTAAAAAAAAAACTTTTAAAACTGGTAAAAATATTTTTTAGTAAACAGAATCAACAAGGGGAAGCTACACTTTCTCCTGAAATCGTTCAGACATGTTTGGGATTAAAAGAACAGGCTTATCCCACCACTCCCACTTCTTTTTTATTCCCATTAAATAGAAAATGAATACCATGTCCGGATCATAACACAATCCATCTCTGTCTCTGTGCCAAATCCCATACTTTTTGATATGTGCTTTCACAGAAGATGTCCCTGCTGGCTGGGGTTCAGCTGAACGTTTGTGAGGATGCAGCGCCCCCTACGGACCTGAACCAGGCCATCGACGAGATCGGACCAGAAGATGAGCCTATCACTGAGAAAACCCATCAGGAGCTTGAGTCCTGGTTTGAAAACAAGGTGAAGTTAAAACATTATTACCATTAATTATTGTTTTGGGGGAATTGTACCGTGCTTGACTACTAAACCTGAATACTTGCCCTTATACTGCAATTCCAAGGAAATAATTTTATTTTTTTATGCATTCAAATTACAAGGGTACATATTTAGCAGGTCATAATGACTTTAAATGACTTCTTATTAGAAAAAAAAGCATCATGTTAATATTTTAAATACTTAAGAACAATTTAATTTGGACATTTTGGCACAAAACCCATGTCTGAAAATAACTGATTTAAATATTAATCACAAAGCTCGTTTTTGATTAAAGGGATAGTTAACCCAAAAATGAAGATGCTGTCATAATTTATTTACTCACCCTCAAGTATGTCCAAACCTGTGTGAATTTCTTTCTTCTGCTGCACACAAAAGAAGATATTTTGAATAATGTATGCAACGTATACAAAGATGATGGGCCCTATATTGACTATGGCCCTATTCCATACTATGGAAGTGATTGGGGTTCATCAACTGTTTGGTTACCCATATTCTTCAAAATATCTTATTTTTGGGTTCAGCAGAAGAAATAAATTCATACAGGTTTGTAACACCTTGAAGGTGAATAAATGATGACATCATTTTCATTTTTGGGGGAACTATATCATTAAAAAAAAAATGCAATATTATTTTATCGTGTGATGTCATGATTTTGTTGGTGTCGGTGTTAACTGCAGATCACCACAGTGCAACAGGAGGTGGCCACACATAATGAAGAGCTTCAGAAAAGCAGAATAGAGCTGAGGGAGTTGGCGAGGTCCTTCCGAAGACTACAGACTGAACTGCAGACCAATCAGAGCACAGTAAATCTGCACCTTTACAAACATCGATTTTTATATTAAAAAAAATAGAGTTGTGGTTTAAATCGAATAAGCAATGCAGAAAAAACTCTGTGGCAACATGTCTAGGAAGAACAAGTGTGCCAGGCTGTTTTTTTTTTTTTCCTGTCCATGAGCTCCAGCCTCTCCCCCTCTAGTTCACCAACCAGCACTCTGCCAGCTTTAAGACTTTAAGAGCAGTAAGGGGAAATGTCGTGTAATTTCCTATGCTTACACATTTAGAAGAACAAGAGATCGACTGTTTAAATAGAAGATAGGGTCTCAAAAGTGTGGGTTATCCTAATGCACCCAATAACATCAAACAAACACTGTGTGTGCACAGCGAAATAAACATAATTCAATAATTTATAAATATATTATGCATAACAGTATATAAAATATAAAGTATATATAATATGATATAATAATAAAATATATTGTTTAATGGTATTATATATTTAATTATTTATATACTTATTTATGACTATCCACAGAGGTCAGCTCTTGTCGAGGAACTGGAGGGCACACAGGCCCGTTACGGAAACGGGTTGGCTATGCTTCAGGCCACTGTCACAGGCCTAGAGGACCATCTTAGTCAATTTCGTGCTGAAATTGGCCAAAACAAACAAGACTACAAAACGCTGCTGGAGGTAAAGAGCAAACTGGTGCATGAGATCACTGGATGGACTGGAGAGTTCAAGAGACTGCTGGATGGAGATGAAAGGTGCTGCTCATTTCTTAATTTTGATATCTTGTGATTTAGAGCATAGACTGATTTAGAAGTTAAAGCTTTACTGACACCAGCTCTCTCTCTCTCTCTCTCTCTTGTTTTTACAGAGAGTCCCACTGTAAGTGATTTTACAATAAATGTATATATTTTTTGTATTGCATCACTATGAAGCTTTGTAGTGCACTGCTAATTGACTATCTCTCATTGTCTGTTTTTAGAAGTTGCCCCAAAAATGATCACAGTGGAAACTGTTGTGAATAGGAGGGCTGTGGAGAGCAGCGAGACCGTGGATGTTAATGAGAAAAAATGACCAATCTGCTAAAAAACACATTGACTTCAAATGACGACGTCACATGTCTTACTGTGCACAATTACACTATTAATGAAGAATTTGGAACTTTACCTTAGATTGTGAACATGATTATATGAAAGTAATTTAGTTTTTTTTCCTGTGCAAACTCTTTCAGCTCTTTGTTTCCAAGTGTTAAATGACAAGCATGTATGCCTGATGTACTGCAAGCATCCACAAATCTCAAAATGTATAGGGATGAAGAAACAATCATTTAACAATAAACACTAAAAAGATGAGACAAATCACAATCGCAGTGTTTCTGCTCCATCAATGATTTTATTCTTAACAATAGTGCAGCACAAGGCCTGAAGACTGGTGTGACAGGTGTAGATGGCTGGGCACTCTTTGATGGTGTTTGTTGTTTATTTTGTACTAGATGACACCACTTTCCCATTAACAACGTCTTCAACAATGGTCTTCACCATGACGGTTTTGGTAGAGCTGCTGCTGCTGCTTCCTCCTCCTCCTCCTCCTCCTACACTGAAACTGATAATGGCGACAAATAGAGAATATGTTGATCCACGTTCCTCAGATATAATAAAAACCCAGTGACAAACCCACTCATTTTAGAGCATCACTATCAACCTACCTGCTTGCTTCTCCATCCATCAGTCTCCTATACTCAGCGATTTCCATCTCCAGTCGGGCCTTGATGTCCAACAGCATTATATAATCCTGAGACTGTCTGTCTGTGTCAGCTCTGACACGAACAATCTGCTCCTCCAAACTTGTCACGTGAGCCTGCAGTTGAAGCAGTTGGTTGGAGAACCGAGATTGTGTGTCCCTAAGAGTTGCCTCAAGAGACCCTTTCTGTAAAATAAGAGTGGAGGTGATGATATTTATTAGTGCAGAGTGGAATATGTATGTTTTGTACAAAAATGGTAGACGTTCAATCAGGCTGCTGAAAAACTGTATAGAATTGCCATTATTTTCAGGTCCCCCTGAATGGTCAGGATTATCTGATTTGCAGGTTTCAGAGGGGTTTTGGGCACTTGTCGACCTGGCTGCTGGCCTACTAAATAAACAAACAGAACACAATCTTGGCCTTGCTGGGTGACCAGTTCGCCCAATGTAGCTTAAAACAGCCAAGACCTGCTTAGAATGGTTTAAAATGTTTTATTTCAGCAGCCATTACCACATTGCTAGATGTATCCCAACACACACACTTACTTTACTGAGTTCAGATTGTAACTCGATTTCCAGGCCCTGGAGTGTGCGTCGAAGCTCTGTGATTTCAGTCTTGGATACTTGTAGGGTCTCTGTATTGGCCTCAACCTCCTTAATCACCGTCTCTGACTGCAGATAAATAACATTCAGAGTTTAGTCGAGCGTCTCTAAAGAATTAAACTTGGTTCTAGACTAGTTTTGGCCCTCTTCTACCTTGGATTTGAACCAGGACTCGAGTTCACGTCGGTTTTTGGCAGCGACACCTTCGTACTGCTCACGGATCTCAGCCATCACACGGCTCAGATCTTCCTGAGGAGCCGCATCCACCTCCACGTTCACCGAACCAGTCATTTGAGTGCGCATGGCAGCCAGTTCCTACAAAGAGAAGAATTCAAGATGCTTTATATATGTGAACCCTGAGGCGCATACCTCAAATTTAAAGTGCTTTTCAGACCCACATTTGACTGCCTTGTTAGTTCATCTCATGGCAAGGTCAAAGGAACAAAAGATCAAAAGATTTGGACATGTTTTTAAGTGGTTTACCTCTTCGTGGTTCTTCTTGAGGAAGATAATCTCCTCCTTTAAGCCCTCAATCTGCATCTCCAGGTCAGATCTTGACAATGTCAGTTCATCCAGGAGTCTCTTCAGCCCAGCAATATCTGCCTCCACAGACTGACGCATATTCAACTCATTCTCATACCTGAATGGGTCAAACCAGAGAAGCTTATCAGCAACTTTTCACCAAAGTAAGAGCAAAAAAAGTTTCATAAACTGTAGGCTTGGATTTACTTGTTCTTGAAGTCGTCAGCGGCTAATTTTGCATTGTCAATGCCCAAGTAGACTCCTCCATTGACACGGGTGGCATCTTGAATCTGTCAGAGACAAGAGAGGATTCAAACAATGAGCTTTTTGCAAATGCACAGCACATTTAGCTTCCAAAACGCAAATACTGTCAGACTTTTAAGCAAAATTTTGGGAAGCAACCGTGACACACATCTGTACAATGCACTCGAGTGGCTTTGTTTCATTTTGACATGCAGAAAACTCAATGAGCACATGACCACACCCATCATCCTGCAGCTATGAAATAATGCATTTCTTGTGCAAGATAGGTTGTAACGTTTTACAGTAGCAGTACCTTATCCTGCAGGTCGTTGATTGTGGCGTAGTAGGCAGAGTAATCTCTTGCAGAAGGTGAGGTTTTTTTCTCCAGAAACTCTCTGATCTTCAGTTCGAGATCTGCATTGGCCTTCTCCAAAGAGCGCACCTTCTCCAGGTAAGATCCCAGACGGTCGTTCAGGTTCTGCATGGTTGCTTTCTCATTGACGGTCACGTTGAGGTCCATATCGCCACCGCCACCACCAAAGCCACAGAAGCCTGCTCCACCACCAGCGCCACCACCAAAGCCATAACCTGCTCCACCACCACCGCCACCACCAGCTGAAAAGGTGCTTGACGCAGAAGAGATACGGACACCTTGGCCTCCTGAACCCCCATACATGCTTCCAGCACGCATGGCGCCTGAGCGGCCACCTCCTCCGAAGCCAATCGATGAAGACTGAGACATGCGTCCTAGAGAAGCACCCCGCATGGAGCCTCCACCGAAGCCCCCTCCAGAAGACACAAAACTACGGCTGCTGAAGGACGTCATTGTTGAGGAGCAGAGGAGAGAGCCTTTTTCGTGGAAGGAGAAGGAATGCGGTTCACTGACGAGGCTGATTGATTTTTATATGTTTGTGGGATGAGGTAAGGGGTGGGTGGAGGTAGAGATGGAGGAGGGGGTGAGGGGACAACATGAACTCAAAACTTCACTCTCCGCCCAGCACATGCCTGGAGGGAGAGGATCTGGCAGGTGAAATGACATGAATTGTTGACTGATCTCTGAGAGCCCAGGGTTATGTGCAAAAGACAATACATATGCACATATCTTATCTCAAAATATGCATGCCGAAATAACTTGACAATGTTTTCACAGGACGTGATTGTTTTGATGTGAGGTTTTTCCCATGCACGTCTGCATAGTATCTCATGTTACTGCCATACGGTCTGTGTTACAGGCTTCATAACATGTGTGCTGACAGGATGACCTGCGCCTGCCAGCGGCGTTTCCAGGACAACAGAGTGCTGGATGTGATAAACACTTATAAACAGCAAGCTAAAAGCACACAGTGAAATGGTCTCTTGCACGTGGAATGCTGCCAGCTTCCCCAGTACAGACCTCCCTTTGTCTTTTCAAACGTGAACAGAACAAAAAAAAAAAAAACATTCGAGAGAGAGAGAGAGAAAACATTTTCCAAAGTGAACTTTTAAATGACTCAAGAGGCATCTGGAGACGTGCTAGCATGGTACCGCTCGTATTGCGTAACAGTATTTTTCTGAGAGCTTTAAAAATGAGTCAGATATACACCAATCCAGAAGGCTTCACTTCTATCTGAGGAAAATTATTGCATGCATAAGAAACTTTCAATTGAGGCCTGAAGCTTTGCTTTGGAAAGCATGAAATTAAACTACTTCAGTTTTATCTTCAGCTAAAAATGCTGCTGCATGAAGTAGTAGTACATTAGTTGAGTAATTGCTAGTTTGAATGCATTTACAGAGGTTGCATTGTACTTTTGTAAAGCTGTCATTACACAATCAAGCGAAAACAATGCGGCAAGCATAACTGAACACGGATCTAGTGTACATGTCAAGTAATTCATCAATTTTCATTGAATGTGCCTGCGGTTATAAGGTGATGAATGATAGGTTCAGGTTAATTTCATTAGATACTGAATGATAAGATAAATCTGATCCATCTGTTGATTTCAAACAAGCTCTTACCTGCTTGCCTGTAAGCTCTGCTTTATTCAGATGATAAATGCAAAAGAATTCGGATTAAATGATCACCTTGTTACTGAAAGAATGCTAGCTTTTTGATTTAAAAGACATTTTTATGTGCACGCTTTTGTGAGCATGTCATGCGGGAGTTAATCTATGTCAGCCTTATACTTTCACTGTGAGAATATACTGCTTACAAAAGCAGCAAAAAAGACGTTTATTCATGTGTGCTAGCTACTTCTTTAAAACAACAAAAAAGAAAGGATACTTTCAGTTTACTTTTTGCGTATACGTCTTTCACACTTAAATATATTTGACTTCTGACAGAAAAGTCTATTTATATTTGGCCTATACTTGTAGCCTAATCAATCTTTTAATCGAGATTTATTAGTGCTACTTTAAAAGTATAACTAAGTATTGTAAGTATACTTGGCTTGTAGTTTACACTTTTTTCACATAGTTTTACATAATGTCTTGTAAACTACTTGGTTACTCATGGTTACCTGAGTTAGGGAACAAATTGCGTAGCTTTATTTATTTCATATATTTAAATTATATTTTTATGTGAATGTGACTGTTCACCATAATATTAATGACACGACCGGACACATTCAGGCCCAAATCGTACCGAAAGCACCTTCGGCTGTAGGGAAGGATCCTCCATATTATAGAATTTCATAAACGTGGAAGGCGAGGACCAACCGGCCGCATCACAAACATCCTGAATGGGACAGCCAAATGACCAAGCCCATAACGAGGCCATGCCTCTGGTCGAATGGGCCCTGATCCGTATAGGGCAAACCTGACCCTGAGGTAGAAACCATCACGATAGTATCGACTATCCATTTAGACAGTCTTTGCTTATTGACTGAATCCCCTTTGGATCGACCACCAAACCAGACAAAAAGCTGTTCTGATTGTCCAAACGAGAACGCTCCAGATAAATTCTCAGCGCCTTAACAGGGCAGAGAAGATTAACCTCCCCATCCTCTTAGGGTCCTCAACCTGTGCTCTGAAAGGTGTTGAGAGCACTTTGGGCACATACCTGAGCTGAGCTTGAGGATGATCTTAGAGTTATCTTGAGCAAACTCCAGACATGCCAGGCTCACAGAGAGAGCCTGCAGATCCCCCACTCGCTTGATAGATGCCAATGCCAACAGGAGGGCGGTCTTCAACGAGAGAGGTTTAAGATCAACTGACTGGAGCGATTCAAAAGGTGGACCCCTCAAAGTCCCCCCAGGACTGTGGAGAGGTCCCATGGTGG